TGCTGGATAAGTAAGGTCTGGTGAGTAACAGACACCATCTCTGCCAACCTACAGCCTAGTGAGGGACACAAACATCAATGATCAAGAAAATGGTAACTGCACCATTGATGACAAGTGCTTCAGTGGAGGTGTATAACTGGGGCCAGTAGGGGGCAAAGAAACTCCCTGGGGATGTCACAGGCTTTGATCTGAGGGATGGAAAGCAGTTATTCCAGTACGTACATTATAGGCAGAAGGATCCGCATGGGCAAAGGCCCAGGCAGGAAGGAATTGACACATCTGGGGATCAGAAAAAATCCACAGAGCCTGGAGTTTGGACAAGAGAGAGTAAAATGAAATGGGACAGCAGGCAAAGTCAGGGGCCAGACTATGTATGAACTGTGGTCTTTGTTAGGAGTTTCAACTTTAAGAGCAACATAATTGCTCTGAAAATCGTGAGGCAGGAAAGTGATAGAACCAATGTGCTTTTGTGAAAAAATCTGACTGCTGTGTGGAGGATTGAGGTCTGGTTTGAGATTATGTGCAGAAAACCTAGTTATGTGATTATTGCTGTAAGAGACTAGAATCATTGCTACTGTGATGGAAAGAAGTGGGGGAAAGTCAAAATATAATTAAATAATAGCATTATTACGGCATAGTAGTTGATTGGATATGGACAAGAAGTGTCCCAGGTGTTCCCAGACCTCTGATCAAAGACAGCTGGATGGAAGTATTGCCATTGATGAACTAAAGGACACAGGACACTCAGGTATGCAGAAGGATCATGAGTTCAGTTTTAGATGGTTACGTTTAAAGAAAGTCTCATGAAAAGATCCAAGCAGTTGAGCAGAGAGTTGGAGAGTTCAGTCTAGAGCTTAGACGAAACATTTAATCTATGATAAATACAGGGCATTTGGCAGCATGTAGTGAGAAGATAAGAGGGCGCAGAACCAACATATACCATCTGGGAGAGTAGACGATGCAGGGCTGGTGAAGGAAACTGCAGGAAGGGGCCAGTGATGCAGGAGGAATCTGGACGTTCACGCGGCGTTGTAGAAGCCAAGAGGAGTGTTCCCTTCTGCCAGATGGACCTACTGAAGCAGTCATTTGGGGATTGAAAAGTGAACTCTGGACTTAGTGACCTTGACTTTGTTGATAAAATGCCTGTAGAGTAGTGGGCCAGGAATCGGGTGGAGTAGTTGAGGAATAACTAGGAGAGGAAAGTGGAGACAAGGAGTAGAGAGAGACTCCTTGGGTGGGTCTGGCTGAGAAGGTAAGAAGGACGAAGTTGGCTGGAGGGCACATGCGACTAAGGTGGGGCGTCTTCGCATGGAGATTTATAGAAAGGATCTCGCTGAAGAGGATGGTAAAGACTAAGAACAGGTCTTAAGGATGAGATCCAAAGCACAGGAAGAGCTTTGGCCTTGGTCAACAGGAGAAATCCTTTCTCCACTACAATTGTGAGAGCAGGGAAGGAAAAGACATGATAAGAGGAAGTTAAGGAGATTAAAAGACTCCAGTTTCCCCATAAATTAGGCAATAATTTTATTAGCTGAAAGTGAGAGAGATGGAGGTGATCAGAGATTTAAGAAGAGAAAAAAAGTGAGCTCTCTAGAGAATTGTATTCATATTTGTCAGGCACAAGTGAGGGACCACGAACTAATGGCGCCCATCCAGCCAGCTGTGTACTTTCCTCCAGCACTACTCAGTGTCCATGTGTGATGAGAGAAAGGAGGTGAACAGTTTCATGTGTGGCTGGAAATTTCCAGATTGCAGTGAAAGAAAACAGGGCAAAATAACTTAAGATGTGTCCAAGAGTCTAGTGGAAATGACAGACCTTGGAATATAAGATAGAGAGGAGCGAAGACAGAAGGGGACAGGATGGATGAAGAGGGAGAAGGTACACAGCGTCAACTGACTAATGGCTCCATGAGGTCAAGCATCAACAGGATCTCAAATAATAGGGATGAATCCAAGTGGCATAGCACCCTAGATATAAAATACATTCATACTTTGTTACCTTCCTTCAGATACATACAGTATAGTTATCTTTCAATGTTGAATGACAGATTGCATGACTAGGAACTGACTTCTGACATCGCTAAACCTCTGGAGAAACCAAAAAATGTTTCCTGAGTGTTGGTATGTGTCAGGCACTGTTCTAGGTGCTAGGAATCTGATGGTGAACCAGACGTGGTATTTGCCCTCAAGGGGCTTATGCTTTCATGGGAAAGACAGACACAGGCCCCATCTTACAAGGAACTGGCTAATTAAATGCAAGTGGGAAAGAGGTGTACACACTTTCTTGGATCCTCTATATTGGAAGCCAGGTTAGCTGTGCACAATTCCCTGATTTATGTGAGTCCTGATCAGAATTAAATGTCCCAAAAGATCACTTGGATTATTGTGCTTGAGGAGTATGCATTGCCTAGTATCGATTAGTTACAATTTATTGAACATTTACCATGGGCCAGGTAGCACTTGCCATAGGTAATATTATCTCCATATTCCAGATACAGAAATTGGGTTCTAGGGAAATTACTGATCAGAGATCACTTTGCCAGTGAGTGGTAAAGGCAGGATTCAAATCTAGCTGTGCCTCAGCCTGACCTCTCTATTCTGTAACATTCTCCTTCTTCTGGTTAGAAGATTAAATTTAGACAAATGTGGTAGCATGAGAACTCGGTTCCAGAAAGCTACAAAAATTGCTTACAATGACCAGGTTTTGCTGGGAGTGCACCTGGGGAGCTTCCAGCCCCAAAGCTGTCAGAATACTGGAAAGAACTCATTCCACGGGAAAAGAAAACACAGAATGAATAGTTCTCTTCTACCCAAAGGCACCATGTTCCGGGAAAGATGTCAAGAGTTAATTTGCTGAATCTCTGGTGTCAAATAAATCGTGATTTTTTTTGTTGTTTCTGTTTGATAGAGTTATGACTAGATGTTGTTTCACATTTTTCACATTTTTTGTAAAGTCCCACATCTGTCTTTACTTTCGTATAAAGCCCTAACTGTGCTTCGAATGAATATTATTTAATATTAAGTCAAAATTGGCTTATTCAGCTCCTGGATATTTCTTTTCAATTCAGATTCATGTTCGCTTTGAGCCCTTAAGATATTTTCAAACGTTATTTTGGTTAATACAACCTTGAAAAGACAGAAAATACTAAATCTTTAAGGGCCAAATCACCTAGGTATAGGATACTTTGTGTAAGTCAAAGACTATTCGAAATTACCTAAAAGAGCTCGATTCTGGTTTTAAAGAAAAGTGTATAAATCTGACTTTGGTAAAGTGAAACATTTAAAAGTATAAGGTAATAAATTTTTACAGATTTGTTCCAAGCAAAGGATATACGTGCACACACCCATGCATATCTCAAGTGTGGAGATCAAAATGGAAAAAACTGTCTCATTCTCTCACCCTTTACTCCTTATCAAACTCAATATCCCTTAAGAAAAGCTCGACACTATTATATACCATGAAGCCAGAAGAATATCTTCAGAATAAAATGTGAAAGAGGTCTAAGTAACAGAAGTTAGATAGAGATTACTTATAAGTATGTTTTATTCTCCACAGTGTACGTGTATGAGGAAGAAGGTGGAGAGGATTGTCATTCAGTCATTTGATAGATAAAGCTAAATGTCAAGCACTCAGTTAAGCCCCAGTGAAAATCAGATTTTTTAAAAAAGAGTTACAAATATGAAGAATTCTCTGAAGAGAATGCATCAGGGGCCATGGGAAGGCCTGACACTGAGCCCAGGCAGTGAAAGTAGAGACACTAATCTAGAGATGGGAGGTGACTCTACAGAGATTGCAGAGATTCGGGGTGGGTAGGGGTGGGTCTCGGCAGTCATGTGAGGATTGGACTTTATCCCCATTGGAAATCCATCAGAAGTTAAGTAGAGGAGTGACATGATGAGATGAGCATTTTTTAAACATCGCTTTATCTACAATGACAAGAAGTTTGGAAGAGAACACACCCGGCTGTGGTTTTTGCAGTTTGGGGAGGAGGGATGATACTGGCTGACACTGAGGCAGCGACACCAGAAATGGAAAGAGGACAGGCGTATGGTGCTTAAGAAGGCTGAATTGATTGAACTTGGTGATTGATTGGATGTGGGAAGTAAGAGAAAAGGGACAAGGCAAGGACGACAGTTCTGGCTGAGAAACTAAGTGGATGTTTCTGAACATGCAGAATTTGAGATGCCCAAGATCCACATTCTTTCTTTCCCTCGTTCCGGTCATTGCAAACAGACAATATCCCGTACTCCTCTTCCCTACATCACGTGAAGAAAGGGCTGGAAAGAATCTTAGAAATCATGTACTCTGATCCTCTTCATTCTACATACAAGGAAACTGAGACCCAGAGAGGTTAGGAGACTTCCCTAAAGGTACACAGGACCCACAGCCCTTAATCCACAGGCTCCTCCCTAAAGCACGCTGTTTTCTTGCTTTTCATGGTTTTCATAATCGTCATCGTGATCACTTTTCCTGAACGTGAAACCAGCTTCCTGAAGGTATTAATTCAAACATGAGAAATCTTTGGATTTCTTACCAACTGATGACTTTGAATACAAAAATTACATACTCAGGAAAGCAAAGATAATCAGAAGCGGTTGAAAAGTTCAAAAACAGTTTAAGTTGGTCTTTGGTCAAGTTGTGCATAGGAATCTCCTGTTAGATCAGTTCAGTTCTCATTATGAATACTTAGAAAATAACAAAGCATTGGGTTCATTATTTTTTTTACAATATGAATTCTTAAATATCTATCTCCATGCATCACGGTTTCAATTATTTGTCATATGGCTTCCTATAAAATTTCACTCTTTAAGATGTTAAGATTTGCAATAATTCTTTTAGCTGGTCAAAGAAATAAAATCTGTAGCTTTTGCTCATGGAGCTTCCATTTTTATAAGCTGTTAGAGTGAAATGATGATGTCAGAAACAGTACAGTATTGAAAGAGAGAATGAAACCAAACCTTTGACCTAACACAAGTAAAACAAACACATAAATGCTTACCTGAGGCGGGAGTCCTTAAAGGCGTCCAGATACGCAGGGTAGCTCCACACAATTTTATTCCCTTTACATCGAAGCTCCAGAGTTTGCCCCGCTGTCAGACTCAGGGTAGCAGCAGGTTTCTGGAAGCGACCTTTATCCATCATTTGGGTCATTATAGACTGTGCCTTTGGCAGTGAATCAGCTGAGTCCCTGTCTTTTGTTCTAGGAATTTTGGGCTTCACCTTTTTGTTGGTGGGTTTGATTCTGTTCTCTCCTGGCTCCTTTGGACGCTTGTTCTTGGGAGGGTGCTGGCCAGTCACTAGTACAAATGTGAGGAGAGAACAATGGGCTGTTGTAGTAACATACCTAGAGTACTTACCCCTCAAACAGATCACTTAATACGCCTCTCCTCGTGTGACACAATTATTTTCAGTAATAATTGTTATTTTCTTGGTTCATTCTTTAGTTTTAAAAGATTTAATAACCAGAAGGGACTATATTTCAGCTTCAGAGATTTTTATTCAGATTCAGCAATATATTTCATGAATGAACCACAATTCGCACTTAGGAAACGAATATACTTTTCCTTGTAATTCACACTCTGTCCCATAATCTTTAAGGGGTCATGTTGAATGGCAGTTTGAAGCCACTCCAGGTGATCTGTTACCTGTCTTTGCCATCTCAGAGCTATCATTGTTTAGTTTGAATCTATGGTATAAGTGCAGGAAAATGTCTCCACTGAGACACAGTCGGTACTGCCAGTGCACTCAGAAGATCTCGAACCGTTACAAACTCTCCCAGACATGAAGACAGTGGAGTCTGTGTGTGAGGGCTGACAACATCCACAATAGAATATAAGGTTTAATAAGGAACAGGTGCTAAACCTGTGCTCAGTTAAAGCTAACATATAAGTCATTAAAACTCAACAGTAACTGTAGCGATGATTTAGAACTTAGCCAACCAAATATCCTGGGGTGGGGAGGGAGGAGTATTTTGTCACCCACAGTGCTGAAAATTGCTGGCAAATGGTGAGAATAAAAAACTGACCTACTTTAAGTCTGTTTTATTACTGTTTTTCCCTTCACCACAGACAATGCTTCCTTTATTGCCTGTGCACAGGAAAGACAGCTCCCACTGCCCTGCCCTTGGTTTGCCTCTGGGCTCCAGAAATCTCAATGATCCAGGCAGCCCAGCAGCCGTGCACCGGTGCCCACCAGCAGGATAAGTGTCATTTTGCCCATCCATCTGCATCCGCTCAAAGGCGACCTCGATATCTGCCCACAGAATTACAAAATGTCCTAACTAATTGTATCCTGAGAGGTCATTAAGTAAAGTCCTCGTATAGATCAAAAAAAATAAAGGAGGTCCTGAAAAGTTACATAAATTGCCCATAGATGGTCACTGATAGGATGTGAGAGTAAAATTCAAGTCTCCTGACTCCCATTCCAAGAGCTCACTTCACTATATGTAGATAAACATCCTGTATATATTTTGAATAAACAACTGCACAAACCTTGGCCAATTGATAGATTACAGGACATTTCTATAAAATGGAAAAGTGAGACAAGTCAGGAGAAAAAAATTGTTTTCCTTTTGGATGATTCATTTATCTAGTACTACCTTGGTATACAAAAGGCTTGGAGTGGTCAAAGGTACAAAGACATTGAAATTGGGATCAAGGATGGAAAAATGCAAGTGTTACAAGCTCTGATGTCACTGGGCCAGGCAGATGACAAAACAAGGTGAGCCAGGTGGGCTTGGGAGGCCATGACCTCCCAAAGGGACAGCTGCTCCTGCTTCAACAGGCTGCTGCCTGGAGGGAGTGCACGGCAGGGTGTCTGGACCTGATTTCTCAAAGGAAAGCAGAAATGTAGATTTCCCGATTTACAAATATCAGAAACTCAATAGTTTTGAAATCCCAGGCTTGAATCCCATGAGGTTAGAAGTCAGGTGGTTTTATCCCTGGAAGCGCTGGGGACGACCAGGAAGGGACATGAGGGGGACTGCCAGGAACGGCTTTCTCGGTCTGGGCTGGGTACAGGGGTGTGTGCCGTGTCTGAGCATGTCATGGAGCCATACTCTTATGGTTTGTTCCAAAAGCTCAACTGATCTGGACTCCACTGTATGATGATGAGCTTGGCTTCCTGTGTGTCTTGCCCTCTGCCTTTTGAAACAGGAGCCATTTAGCCTGACTCTTAGTTCAGCCTGGCCCAGGCTCTGGACCCAAACGCACTCTCAGCTCGGTATTAACACCAACTCCCCAGCGCGCTATCTTCTTTGGGCTTAAATGCTTGCTGCTTTCTCTCTGCTCTCTTACCCATGACTTCAGGTCCAGCTCTGACCTCTCTTTCCTCCCCTAGACCTGAGTCCCTTCTTCTACTTTCGTTCCCCTGGGTCACGGGCCCAGTTGGGCTTTCTCAGTCCTTCCAGGCAGCAGAGCCGTGTTCTTGAGCCCCAGTCTCCAAGGCAAGTCTCCAGTACCTACTGTTGAACCTTTTTGTCAAGATTTCTCCTGACCTTGCACGTTTGATTTATTCACCACCGGGGTTCTAATGACAGAGGGTGGTGGGCAGTGGCACGCATGCACACATTTCTCCAGCCTCCCGGAAGGAGAAGCGCTGTAACCATTGGAAACATGTCAGATGGACAGAAATACCCTGAGCCTGCAACATCAATCCTGAAGCATAAGCCTCTGTTTTGCAACTGAGTAAAAGTCACAGTATTTTTCTTAAGGTAGAAAATATAAAAGCCAATTATTATGATGTCAAATCATCTGTGCCTGCAAACATTCTAGTCACACTATGCCCGTAAACTTCATGGACCTTGGGATAGATGTCTAATCTGGTATATTTTCTTTATCATTTAACAGGAATTCAAGCGATCAAAAATGACAATTGTCTGTACATCCTATAAAATTTAGGCAGCCAGCATAACTTGTCTGACTTCTAGGCTGTCAGATCTTTGTGGATATCCTGCTCAGGAATGCTCGATTACCTAACTATGGATATTATGTATCCAAATATGTGTATTATTCCTGCAAATTAATTTGACCTTTTCACTACACAGGCCCACCAGTCCATTTCACTGTATAGCTGGTCCAGTTGCCTGACCATGGAATTGCTCAATGGCTTATGGTAATGACTCTGAGTTAAATGAGCCAGACAAGTGGCCCCACAGACACCCAGACAGTCTTAGGACTGAGTGACTCCCAAAACCCGCATCTAATTTTTTAAAGAACATAACTCTTCAGCCTATGTGAATTACTGTCCAAAGACCTAAGCATGTAGGAATTTATGTTGCAGATAAATAAAAGTGATACTTTTCGAAATGGTAGGAGGGTGTTTTGGAGTGAAGTTCTCGCAGGGAGTAGGGAGGGAAAGGTTCTCATCTTTCTACATTTTCCTCTCCCGAGTGTCATTGCTCCCCCACCTTCTCAGCTTTGTTCTTGGAAAAGCACAGGTATTCCTCTGGGTGTTTCATGAGAAATGGAAAAATGAGATGAGGGCACGGCTCTCAGTTTATATAACTCGTTGGGGAAGTCCTGAGCTGCTCAGCAAATTTATAGCCTGGAGATTTCGATGCCAGCCTAGGGCAGACCTTTCCCCTTAACTGCCCATGGAGAGAAAAAGACAAACAGCTACAGATCTTTGATGTTAACGACTATTCATCCCCATGTAGTCCTTATCTAAGTAGCAGTCAGTGATTCTTCTAAGAAATTTATTTTCTCCTCCAACACAGTTCTGTAGAATCAGAGGTTAATAGTCGGGTCACCTTTACTGAATAAGGGTTGATTGCAACCCCCAGTTGATGCTGAAGAATCACAGTCCTTTGTCCTGTGTTGTAGCATTTATTCATTCATTTTGGAGATGGGTGTTTGCCCAGCATCTCCTCGCTTGGGGATTCTAATGTATGCCTTAGAAAAGCATCTCCAGCCCCTCCTGGAAGGTTATGCTCTCATCCTTGGAATCAAGTTTTGTTTGACTTGGAACTCATTGTCAAAACCCAAGGCATATCAAACAAAGAAACCACTTAGACAATGGTGCTGTGCATGAGATTTGTGCAAATAAAGTGAAATTGCCACAGAATGTTAATCTCCATGTGACTCGAAAGGCAATGGCATGAACCAGAGAAGACTCCAGACCTGGAGTCAAAGGGTCTGGTTTTTCACTACCTTCTTAGTGACCTGGAATGAGCTACTTGGCCTCTGTGATCTCATTTTTCTTTTTTTTTCACCTGTGAATTAGGAGGAATAACTGCTCTGCCTCTATCACAAGTTTATTATGAAGAGCACCATGAGACATTGTCACGGGACCACCACAAAACAAGCAGCATGTAGCGAGCTCGCACTTATCGTGTGTCAGACACTGTTCTTGACATTTTAAAACATTAACTCAATCCTCACAACAATACATGAGTTAGTCATTATTTTCATATAATTCTCAATTTACAAATGAGGAAGCTGAGGCAGAGACAGACTAAGTAACTTCCTAAGGTCACATAGCTAGAAAGTGGCAGCCAGGACCTGAAGTCAATAATGACATTTAATGATTTGTGAATTTTACCACCTATCTCTATAAAATATACTACGTAGCAGTCTCAAAAAATGCAGGGGTAATGGACTTCCACTTTTATTTATCTACACTATAAATTCTTATGTTTTTGGCCTAACAATAATTTACATAGTTCGGTTGAAGAGTCATGTTCTTTAAAAAGTTAGGCATAGGATTTGGGAGTCATTCAATCCGAAGACTGTCTGGGTATCTGTGGGACCAACTAGTCTGTCTCCTTTAACTCAGCGTCATTACCGTAAACCACTGACCCATTCCATGGTCGGGCAGCTGGACCAACCATATAGTAAGATGAACTGGTGGGCCTGTTTGGTCACAAGGTCAAATTAATTTGCAGTGATAATAGTACATATTTAGATGCATAAAAGTATCATTTTCTTAAAAAAGCAATTTCTAAGAATTAGATACTTTTATTCCAGGATAAAGACCTTACTTTGAAATATTTTTCAGAATTTTCATTAGAACAGGGTTGATCACTTTTTTTTTAAAGTTTAATTGCCATACATTATATTAGTTTCAGGTGTATAACATAATGATTCGATATCTGTACACACATATTGTGAAATGACCACTCTCTTGTTGAAACACTTGATTTGCTTGGCTCCCAGGACACAGCACTTAGTTTTTCTCTCAAATCACTGACAACTCCTCAGACTGTTTACCAGTCTTTCTTCTTCCTTTCCTGCCCGACCTGAATCCCAAGGGCTTCATCCTCAAAACTCAATCGCTAATAACAGTCAATCACTAAGTG